CACACACACACACACACACACACACACACACACACACACACACACCAGATAAAACAAAGCCCATCCTCACCGGCGGCACCACCACTGTCGGCTCGTTGAGCACAAAGGTCTTGAGGGCCTCGGTGCTGGTGGACTGCGGGGTGCCGTAGTCCATGACCTGACGCGGCGGCGGGCAGTCCAAGAGGGCGCGCGCAGGCAGCCTTGAGCCGTTGTTCAAAATGCAGTGGGCACTCCGAAGACAGATTCAAGATCAAGGGTATCAAAATATCCATGCTTTTGACTATTTGGACGTGCCTGGCGCCACACAAGAAGCGCACAGGTGGTTCGGGGCCCAGTGTCAAGTGGGTTGCCGTTGCGTTGCTCCAGATCACTCCAGATCACCCCAGATCCTACCTCGTCCAGTAGCTCGTAGATCAGCACAAAGTTCTTGCGGATCGCCTCCTCGCTCAGGCTGCCGCAATAGTCCTGCAGGGCAGATGGTGGCGCGCAAATTAACTGAGCCACATCCACCCTGCCGGGCCATAAACGCATGCCAATCGCACCCAATATCAACGTTGGGCTTGATGCCGTAGAGCGCCTCTCGAACACAGCACGCTCCACCAGTCGGAGCCCAGTTTTTCCACCTGCTGGTCCGCCGCTTCCGACCCCACACACGCACCTCTCAAACCGTGATGATGTCCCCCCGACACTCCCTGACCACCCACACCAAGCACACCTGGATGACACCCCCTGCACCGGCACCCTTGCATAATATCCCCTCAACTAATGTAACCAACTCCGACCCGCGCCAAACACAGCCAGATAATCCCACAGCCAAGGCATAAACAGCGCGCCCCGCACCTTGATGATCACGCTGATGCGTTTGAGGAACTCCAGCACAAAGGAGGGCGACGCGTTGTCGCGCGTGGCCGCCACCAGCTGCACGCCGCCGTCCTGGGAGGTGCATTTTCAGTGTTTTGGGGGCGAGGGGAGGGGGCAGTGCGAAATGTTGATGCGGACGTGTTGGTTGCGGTGCTAGTTTTGATTGTGGGTTTAGATAGCACGCCACCCCAATGGCGTGTTGAATTTCAAATGTGATTTCCGAGGGGGTTGAAACAGCTTGTTGCAGCTGACCGGGAAACATTGAGGGCTGATGTTGTGTCTTGGCTCGCCGTGTGCACCCGATGCAGTCGCTGCAACTAAACGGCGGAGTCAACACCCTGCATCCCAACAGAAGTCATATGCCGGCCCAAATGCAGCCGGCAAAGCGCAGCCGAGAGCGCAAACCGCGGCCGCATCTGTCGTCGGCGCCCTCAAGCATGACGTCACCTGGCGCTGACGCGCCTAGCAGGTGCGCCCTGCCGCCTCCCTGCTCGGCAGCAACTAGGCCCTTGGAACATTTGATAGACATCAGGCATCCCGGCCGCACCTTGACATGCAGGTACGAGACTCCATCAATGATGAAAACAGGGGGCGCCTCCACCGCTCCATCGCCATCGCCGCCCTTGAAAAACTTGGCGTTGCGGAAGAATATCTCCGTGCTGGCCTGCAGGCGCGGCATTCAAAGCTTCAAGGTGCTTCTTCGGATGCAATAAGCTGCACTGGACATGCACAAGGCGCCCCGCACCTTAGGAACGTTGCCGAGGTAGTCCCGCCTGATGATCACATCGCCCCTCGGCGAAAGAACGAAGAACTGAGATATCATTTGCGACGAAACAAGAAAGTTGAATCACCGGCAAGCGCTCATGAGGCCCGGACGGGTCGCGCTGCTGCTGAAAGGTGTGCGCAGGGCACCGTGAGGTCCGTTTCCGTGTATCAGCTCATTTATAGTGGTTAAAAAGCTGATCTAAAGCATGAAATGAGTCTTTTGCGTTGCTTGGGAGCTCACGACAATAGATCAGTTGCGCACCACGCGCACTGCTTGTTGGTTCGAACAATATTGAGCGGGAGATATGTGCAATCATATCACGTCTGTGATGGAAGCCGGTGCAACTGCGTCGTATTTGTGCGTGTGCGCCTGGTGTGCGCCCGCTGAGGTGAGTCAGTGAGAGGTGCTGTGTGCATGTGTGTGTTGCGATCCATGGCGGCCGTGGACCCATCTCCTGCACGAACTTGAAAACCGAATCTTGATTTATGTCTCTTTGAAAACATCCAAGCTGCTGCCAGGCTGTTGGAGTGCCCGAGCCACCATTGTTCTCAGCCAGGTTCTGGCTGAGTCAGCCTTTTTGCGTAGGCAGCTGCATATTTTGCACCTCCTGCCCAGGTGCAAGACCTGTACAACTCTTGTTTTTAAGCACTGAAATGAAAAGTAAAGCTAACTGATGTGAGTGGCATTGCTGGGGGGTGCAGCAGCGCAGTCAAAGCCAGAGACATCAGTTGCTGACCAACTCCAGGCAAGGATATGGGCAAGAGTTTTGAACGTGTGAAGATGACACAAAAGTTGCGCCTGGTTCATCACGCTGATGCTGCACGTGCTCAGGCACGATCATACAAGGTCACAACCACCTGGGTGCTCGTGGCGTGCAAGACACGGACGCCAATCCTCAGCTGCAGCCTAGAAGACACACTGTATTCACAACCAACTGACCACATGTCACAACATAAAGGAGTGTCTCTTCTCAAAAGCTATGTGAGCCGCGCGGCAGGTGAGCTTTGATCATTGCCTGGGCGCAAGCGTGGTCTTGCTGTGTCAAGCCGTCGGAACGCTCCAAGGCGGCTGGCGCCGCAGAACTGTTTCAGGGTGCGTCATGACAATAGAAGTATACCTCAACTACCTTGGAGTCGTAGTCGGCCGTCACCGTCTCACCGGGGATCAAAGGAGCAGGTGTGCGGCATGCAGCGATATGACTTTTACCTCCGACCCCTCCGACTCCGACCCCTCCCCGTCCCCGGCTGTTTAGGGGTCCGCAGGTTGCAGGGGTTTGTAC